ACAATACTATCTGAGATATTCTAAATAGCAAATTATAGTAATAACAAAAATATTTTGATTATAATATTAAATGATCAAATTATAATTATTATTAGCATTTTTCAAAAAATGAAGTGATTACTCTCCTAAGAAAAAGAAAATTCACTAATGTCTTTAATAAGTTTCCTGCAAGTAAATTAGGTCTGATTTTTTTTTATTGCTAAAGTGTAGTCTAGTAAATTAGGTCTGATTTTTTTTTATTGCTAAAGTGTAGTCTAGTAAATTAGGTCTGATTTCAATTATCAATATATTTTATTATAATAAAATTTTCTTCAATTAGTAAATAGGTGACGAAGTACAATGCACGTGATGATATACGACTCCTCAAACAAATTTTTTTGTGTATAACGATAAGAAAATACACATTTAACTTCCTACGAACAGCTAATTATAATTATAGTTGTAAAATATGGCGACTGACGATCTAACTTGGTAAGAACAAAAAGGAGTCTCGAATTATTACTTTTTGGTTATTTTTTGTTGTGAAATTTATTATTTTTAGATATTGCGGAAAAGTTTTCGTCGAAACGTTAACTGACAAATATTTCAACCTTCGAGCTCTCACGAAATATCTAATCATTTCATTACCAAACATGCTACATCAAAAATAGAAACTTTGTAATTTATTCAAATCAACATTTTATTTAATAATTAATAATTGAAATTATTCCATAACAAAAAGGCTTCTCATAAAGAACAACAATTCGTTCTTGGTGAAACGTAATGGTGTACAATTCAGCTCAGAACCCGGAAATCTTACGAATTTGAACTCGTACAAGTATTCCGGACTTGCAAATAGAAAGGTAAAATAATGATCAAACGAAAGCGTTAATCAATCTTTCATTCTTGTATTAATTTTTTATCGCTGAATTCGATGTAATCAGTCAATCGGAGTCACCGAGGCAAGCAAGAAAGGCGTCGTAATTATCACGAAAAAGACCAAAGTTCACGACTGGAACCCGCGTGAATCGCTTAACAAGGTCACACTAACCAAAGGTGTTCGTCGTGCAGCTAAAAGTTTCACGAACGAGTATACTCGGTCGAAGTATCGTCCGGATTTGCGAAAGGTAAGATTGAAAAAAAAACTTTTCGATTATTCAGATGAGATCAGTCAAAAAGAAAATGCAACTTGCTAGAACTTGGCAGACATAATCGCCATGATTATAATTTGAACTTTCAGAAATCTGTCGAGTGTAGAAAATTAATTGTTGCTAGAACAATAGCAATCTTTATTTGTTTGTTTTCATGCTTTTTGCGAATTACGGGTGATGAAGATGGTTACGATGATCCAATTCGTACTAAATCATCCAGTCATCATCACGCCTCATAAACATGAAACATATATTATTTATTTCTTCGGCAAAACTTATAAGTTTTATAACTTACTAATATTTAATTGTAAATTAACTTTTATAGGAAGCGCTAGCTCGCATCTCGGCGATTTATGAGTCGCAGAAACCCGTTAAGGTTCATGCAAAGAAGAGTGGGCGTCGTCATGCAAAAGTCTCGAAGAAGAGTAAATGAATAGTGAATGGATGAAAGAATATATGAACTAAATTATATTAAAATAAATTAAATAAAAATTGAAAGAATGAAATAATTTAAAAAATGAATAATTAAATAAATGTGTGAAATAATCAATTTTCTTATAACTTAAGCGACCTAGCAACTAATAATTCCAAATATAGTTAATAAATGATTTTTATTAGAGAATTTCTATTTTTTATTATCAAAAATATTTCGATACTATAATCAAAATTGCTAAAAAAATTTTGTAATACAATTGCATTTTGTTATAATTATATTTAATATAATTTTAGCTATTATAAAATATAAAAAGTTTGATCTTATATAATTATACTTTGTGATTATAATTGTATTTTAAAATATAATAACAATTAAAAAAAATACAACAATATCAAAATTTATTAATAAACTATAAAAATACAAAATTTTCTTTTTATATAAAAGTTTATTAAAATAAAAATATATACAGAAATTAACAAAATTATAAAATTATATATATAATTTTTATTTTTCAATTTTATTAATAAATATTTTTTATTTTTATATTAAAATAAAAACTATAAATTATATTTTAATATATATTTTTTTTGGATTTTTTAGATTTAATCTGACAAAGTTATTTTAATTGCAAAAATTTTTTATAATTAATTTTATATTTTAATTTAATTTAATATATAATAACTAACAAAATTATGAAATCACATATGCAATTTTATTAATAAAAATTGAAATTTTTTGTCTTACAATAACTAATAGAATTATGAAATTATATGTGCAATTTTATTGATAAAACATAGTAAAAATCAAAATTTTTATATTATATAAAAGTTTTCAATTTTATTAATAAATATTTTTTTTAGATTTTTTCTAACAAAATTATTTTAATTGCAAAAATTTTTATAATTAAAATATAAAATTAATTATAAAAAATTTTTGTAATAACTTTGCAATTAGAATAATTTTATTAGAAAAAATCTAAAAGTCCAAAAAAAATTATAACTTATAATTTATGTTTTGATATAAAAATAAAAAATATTTATTAATAAAATTGAAAACTTTTATATATGATAAAAATTTTAATTTTACTATGTTTTATTAATAAACTCACATATATGATTCTATAATTCTATTAGTTATTATATATAATTATTTTGTAATTAGAAAAATTAAATTTAAAAAAATTTAAAAATTTATATTAAAATACAAATTATTATTTTTATTTAATATAATATTTTTATTTTTATTATATTTTATTAATAAATTTAAATATAATTTTATTTGTTTATTTATTTACTTTCAAAGTTTGAGAATTGATTTTATACACATACTTTTACAATAAATTACTAGAAATCAAAAAATTTTCAGATTTTTTGGAAAAAACTAAAATTAAATTTCAATTCAATTTGTTAAGAAATATGAAAAAAGTTAATTTAAATAATGATTCATTATGGAAATATAATCCTTCAAAATTTTATTCCAAATTTTTGAACAATTTTAATACATGATTTTTGGATGCCAATATCTCAGTATTTTAATAATTACATTTTTGTGAAATCAAATAAAAAGTAATTGCCAGTTAAAACTGAAAATAAATCTAACTATAACACAAAAAAAATTAAAAACCAAAATAAGAATAAACTAACATATAAGTAATCTTTGAAACAATATGCATATATCAAAAAAGTCTTATTCAATCGAGCAAATAAATACGCGATGCAATATCACCAACTATCCAATCCATGCCAACAAGCAAGTTTTCACCGGTGACAGCGCTACATGCTTGTATTGCCCAATGATGTGTGGCGATTTCGTCGAGTTGTAAACCCTAAATTCTAACATTATTATCAAATCAAAATATGTAATTATTAAGAAATTAAAAGAAATAGTCAACCTGTTTTATTTGCTGATCAGTTAGTGCGCCTGGAAGGTCTTGTTTATTAGCAAATATAAGAAGGGAGGCTCCTGCTAAACGCTGCAAACAATTAAGAACAATAGAAATAATTGACATTAAATTCATCAGAAAAGAAAAATATAAATAATTAACAATGATTATACAGACTTCCTCTTGCAACAACGCATGCAATTCTTTCTTACAATCATCAATACGCATTCGATCAGCACTGTCCACCACCCAAATAACTCCGTCTGTCTGCTCAAAGTAATTGCGCCAGTAGGATCGAATTGATCTTTGACCTCCCACGTCAAATACGTGTAGCTTAAATCTATTTTGTTCGCCATTCATTAAATACAAAGATATCGAAATTCCGCTGATTTTAAATTATAATTTTTACCCGTTATGCTCTAGTGTTTCTATATTAAATCCTAAGGTTGGTGAAAGCTTGTCTATTGGTTCTCCGTTCAACCGTTTAAGTATTGTGGTTTTTCCAGCATTATCAAGACCGCTTTAGTTATATAATTCGAATTCATTAGTTAAGTAAAAGAGAATGCCAAAAATCATGATCGTATTGATTTGATTATTCTGATTATAATTTCCCGAGACCGATGATAAAGTTGATGTAAAAATCAAAACTTACAGAACAAGTAATCGAATCTCTTTTTCACGTTGTCGAATTTTTCTTAATATGGAAAGAAGACCCATTTTTAAAGATTTCTATTTGTGGCAAGAGGTAAATTTGTAGGAACTCAGAATTATGTATCTTGGTGACTTACCAATCAAACCGTAAGATCGTGTACGACACGTGATAAATCATGTGGTACCGATCAAATGTGACGTCAGAGACATTGGGACAGTTCACGTGCTGCTGGTGGTACAAACCAATAAAAAGTCAAAAATGCGGGAAACAGATGCCTAAATCCACCCTTAACGTTAACGTTAATTATAATGCATAATATTAAAAAGTTTTGATTAGGGTGCAAACATTTCTCAGGTCAAGGGTAGCTACCCTCTAACGTCATATTGATACCTGGGTAGTTGATAAATCGAATAAGCATGATAATAATGCGATAACAATTACATGTAGTTTGTTAGTGTTTTCTGCATAATGCTTTGCCAACTAAATTTAAATGTTTGTTAATATCTGGTATAGTCACTTTATTAAAGGCTACAGAAACGCCATTCTTTTCATAATCCAGATCACATTATTCTGCCTTTTCTTCTCACTAACTGGACGCTATACAGGCAACATCTATAAAATAGTAAATTAATATACGTATATTTTATTTTATCAAAATTCTAATTCTGAAGTACCAAATTGCAGTTTATAGAATATCACACATACCAAGTCGAAAAAATTTTATTGTCTGCGAAGACCAACCAATCAGATTTAGGTACATACCAAATTTAGAAATCGTTTGAAAGATTGACGCATCGAAAAAGCCAGGTCGGCTGACTCTGCGCCGGCGTATCCAAGTCGGCTAGGATCACTATAAAGCTCTGATAGAGTTAGATTTCTGACAGTCACTACAAACAAAAAATGCCTTCAGATCCTCAAAATTCAGACTACGTTTACCACTTTGATGCTGCAAACTCTAGTTCATGGCCAAGTTTTTCAAACACTCGACAACAACCTAACACGCTCCCAATAGCCTCGTCGTCTTCAGCTAGACCACCACCACCTAGCTACGAAGAAGCAATTTCTGAGCCGGAACTACCTTCAAGAATAGTACTCTCGTCTGTTGCTTCTGAGAATGTTAGTGAACTTATCCAAGTTGTTGTGGAACCGCCTTCAAATAGTAATGACAATAACACCCGAGAAACGCAGCCTCTACTCTCTGACACACGGCAAGAATTAAAGTCAATAATATCAGCAACAAATTCTAAACTTTCTGAAGAATCTCGTTCACTGGACAACAATAGCAATAATACAAGTAATGGTGAGGCCCAACAACCTCAGTTTCCTCCTCCAGGATATTCACTTTCTGACGCGACCTTTGAAAGAACGCAAGAAGGTGTATTTTCGGACGACGATAAATTGAATAAAGAGTCAGAATCACTATTTCGATTCTTTCAAGCCCATAATGATAAACCCCAAATGGCTGTTTCCATACTTGGTAAATATATAAAATTAGATTTTTGTTAATTTATATCGAATGTCCTCAATTATTCATATCCACGTCACTAAAGGTTATCATGAAGAAAGTCGATCTGAGCATTACTTTTATACAGATGATCAAGGAGTTCGACAATCTGGCACTAGGCACTACACAGAACAAGTGACAGATTTTCACCTTAATTTGGAGGTTACAGAATATATATCAGACTATGGCAAGATTACTACTGTGCCTGAAAAGAACAAACCTACCAAAGAAATTAAAGAATTGTTGGAAGAATACATCAAACACAAGAACTCACTTAAAGAAATAGAAATGCGAAAGGTTAGAGGCAAAAATCCAGTATTTAGCGTATTATTATTTTCAATTTATAAATTATTTATTTAAATTATGTCCCTCACAGATGGTGAAATGGGAATACGAAGGAATCTCAAAAGCCATCACTGCCGCAATCCGAAGTCAAGGATACTCCAAATATCTAACAATCTCCTACCCACTTCGAAATCACATTGTCACTGTGCACTCCAACACAAAGCTGAGTCGTTTTGCGCGTCATCCTGTCACAAAATTCCTTTGCATTCTATCATGTTTATGGATCATTTTCTTGCCATTAAGCTGGCTCTATAAAAAGAGCTTTAAGAATCAACTGAGAAGTGAGTTTCAGGTGAATATTCCGGCTGGTCAATGGTTCAATCAGAATGTGCAGACTATTGTTGCGACTGTGCGTTGGCTTTAAATTATTTGTTATTAGAGATTTATTATTCTCCTCTCTCTTACTTTGCGGGTTAATTGTTAAATAATAATTTATAATAACTATTTAAATATTTCGGAAATCAAAATTAAAATCCCAGTCGCGTTAAAAATTACAGTTTTCTATTACGATCAAATTCTAAGACAGGCTCGTCCGATTCTGCTTGTTCCTTCAGAAACGCCATGAATCGCGCGTTTTTTTCTCGATTTTTTGCGCGTTCTTTATCAACTTGTTCGCGTTGAGCAGGTGAAAGTTTCTAAAACCAATTCAGAGATAATTAGATAAAGAAATAAAACAGTAAATAAAACCGAAAAAAATTATGTAATAAAGATACCACTTACCTGATATAATTGCTCTTCAGTTGGCACTGTTGCTTTCATTAAAAAGTACCCAAACAGCACTATACCTACACTGGCGAATAGTCCGCGTCTTAGGCGTTGTGCTTGCGTTGGTTGATTAAACGACATTATTGTATTTTTTTTCTCGAGACTTTTTGATCGTCGTCACATGTATAATGAATACAGTGAAACTCGATATAACCGACATAGCGGATTGCAGTGATGGTAAATGGCTTTAAATGATCCAAATGACTCCGATGACAAATGACCAATGAATGGTCATTTTAAAAGGTCGAATGACCTAACTGAATCCACCAGGGCGACCACCGAAATTTCGGGCCACGTGACAAAATTTTGATGATGTCAGCGATGATGACCAATTAATTGCATGATCAACGTGTAACAAAAATAAATAAAACAAAAACATATTTTTTGAAAAAAAGCTTTTATCTCAAAATCTAGTCTTGATCTAGAGGCAACCCCTAACCCTTTTCGCATAGTAACAAAGTGATGGCGAAGAAAAATGTCAGATCATGTGATATACGATCCTATCTACCCTTCCGGAGGTCTCCCGATGATCGTGAAAATCGGACATAACCAGTTAACAAAACAAACGTAAATTGTGACAACTATTATTTTTGTTTACAATTAATATTCGCTTCTTTAGCTATTAAGATTTATTGTTATTTGCAGAATATTGTTGTATTGAATTACTTTTATGTTTGCTGTTCTAATTCTTGTAACAGTAAGTCACGTTGCTAATCATATAACTATTTGTTGTCCTAATTCTTGTAACAGTAAGTCACGCTGCTAATCATATAACTATTTGTTGTTGACAAATAAGACAAGCCTGTTTACTAATCATCAATAGTTAAAGGTTAGATAGAAGTTAGTGATTTCAATAACGATCCAAAGCACATCTGCCGAAAAATTCTTCCAAGAAAACTTCCGAAGTAATCGATTGATCTACTAAAAATTTCAACAAGAAATCCGCGGAGTGCAGTAGAAAATTAGTTAATTTGCATGTTAGTTACTCTATCCAACGAGATCTATGAAATGAAAGTAACTGTGTGATCCCTGGTTATCTGAGGAAGTTCGTAGAATGAGTTTTTTTATTATGGTAATAATTTTGGCAATTACTTACGTCTGTCTTAAAACACACTAATTCTAAAGTCTTATTATACGCTTAATTTTATCTCGCATTCTATCTACTTATAATTTCTTAAATATATCGTGTGTTATTGATTAAATTGTCTCTTTGATCTTAAAACTGTATCTTTTATAACAAATGTAATTTGAGAATAGATAGAGATTTCAAGAATATTAAATTAATTGTATACAATTTTATAAGTAAATTAAGATTCGCTTTGATAATCGTTATTTTGGTTGATGGATTAGGAACTCTTCGTGATAATTATTTGGTTGATAATCAAGAGGTTGACTAATCAAAGCACTTTATAAAATATTTAAGATCTTTAGCTAGAAAAAACCAATTATAATTACACATATTAATCACAAATTCTAAATACATTACCTGAACCTGAATTTAAAACTCAAGCCGCCATAGTAAACAATATTTCTAACTCCATCCACAGGTTAAAACCACCCTAATCTGATATCTGCAATAATATTAATTAAGTCATTTTGCTTGTCAACATTTAAGATAAGAAACTAGTGATCCTATACAAAAATGCAATTAATTATCCAATAAGAAATTGAGTTAATTATACCACATAAAAAATATTCACATTTACCTATTTTTTTAATTCATTTCTGCTAAATGTAACACTTATTTATATTATAATACATATAATTGCAAAGCTTAACATGACATAATACAGATCCATATAACTATTTGGTTCACTTCGCATACTGTTACTATCTAATTAAGATTTTTTTAACTATTCAACTATCTAGTTTAGGATCACGTGACAATATAATATAATTATAGTCATATGAAAGCCACTATAATAAAATTGGTCACAGTTTCACACAATAATAATAAAAGTCTCATTATAATAATCAATTGTGGTTTCGCACAATAATAATGAAAGTCTCACTATAATAATCAGTTGTGATTTCACACAGTAATAATAGAAATATCACTATAATAATCAGTTATGGTTTTGTACAGTAATAATAAAAATCTTACTATAATAATCAGTTGTGATTTCACGCATTAATAATAAAAGTGTCACTGTAATAATCAGTCATAGTTTTGTATAATAATAATCAGGTTTTGTATGATAGTGATTAATGTTTAATTGGGATGATCTAAATAATTAAAAGAACAAATATATATTAAGGAGAATATTTAAATATTATATTAGTTATTTAATTACAAAATAATTATATTTAGATAAAAAATATATATATTGTTGTATAATGACCTTTCGTCATAATATTTTATTATTGGATTATAAATATCTCATATATTATTGGATAAAGAT